ACAAAACGAAAACCATTGTCCCTCTCACCTTACAATCCCTTCCCCCTCTGAAGTAGTCTGAATGTATGCCATTTAATGTACATTTTCCCTAATCTGTGAAAAATAACTTTTTGTCTATTAAGTGATTGTGTGATTTATTTTAAGAGAAATACAATATTTTAAGTATGAGTAGAAAATGGCTAGCATTTAAAACTGGAGGATATCTGAATTCCCATCTCAAAGTTGTGTCTCTGGGAAAGCTGCTTAAATCTCTTAGGATTCGTGTACTCTATTTGGTTGTAGTCATTCAAGTTGTAACCCTTGGAGTAGATGTCACTCTTAGCTTTCAGAAAGTTTTCAAGGTTTTCTATGCTATGACAGCTGTTCTACCAAAACACTTTGTCACTTTTCAAACATGTTGTAGGCTGGAAACTTCCTTGGTTTTCAGGGGAAAAAATAAGCATTTTGATTTTACTCTTTAGTGATATTGAGTGGCATAGAGTTGGAATAAGAGAATTAGCAAAGTGCATTTGATTCAGTAAATGTAATTAGAGCATTGGATTTTTCTGCTCTTATAGAAATTTACCGATCCACTGCTACTGAGCTAGAAATTGTGTGAATTGAGGCATTTTCACATGGTAAAAGCCTGGGTGCCCTCCCACAGTAGAGCCATGGGGCCCTCTTGGTAGTCACTATTTTATTCATACCTAATTAATTCAGGGGTCACCAGCACCTTGTTAGGACCAGTAGATACCATTTTAATGTGTTACTTGTCAGAGTTTAATCAGCTGAATAAACCTCTAGCATGGGTAAGCAGCCAGCATAGGCACAGTTTAACTTATCTCTTAACTTATCTCTTAGCCAGTGAAAGTGTGAGTGTTAGCTCCTTGGCTTCAAATCCTTCACCTAAAGGTACTTATGAATGTTCTTCAAATAATAGGAAGGAATTTCAAAGGTGCCTATATACTTAAGTGATTCAAAAATTAAAATAATAATTTACATGTAAAGTAATGAGTTTAAGTCAATGGTTTTGCTAGATTGCTAGTATTTTGTGTTGCTGTTAATTTTTTCATGTATACTTCTTTTTAGTTTTTATTAATATATGTTTCCAGTACGTAATGATTACATTTATTTTAGGGAGTTGGTACATGTGCACAACACATCTTAATTATTTTTCCTGTGCTGGTGTTTGTATGGAATGAGTGAGTATATGGTGTAATAACCAGCATACTGGCAGTGTTTTCCTAACGATGACATTTTGACCTAGCCAAAAATTTTGAGTCTCATTTTCGTATACATTAAGTTCTTTAATAATAGCTTTGTTAGTTTTTTACTCAGTAAGCAATTTTTAAATGTGCTATTTTTAAAATATTTTATTTACATGCAAAATAATTTTTATAAGATATTTCTAAGTTAATGAGAACAATTGGATTTAGAAATTCAGGTTACCAAAATGAGGTGATACCATTATTGTATTAGAAACAACTGGGGAAGGAGTTTTGAGCACCGAAGTGCAGCCAAACCAACAATTTTTTTTTTTCCATTAACTTTATTGGTACATTTTAGGTGTTTTGTTTTGTTTTTTGGTACCGGGGATTGAACTCGGGTCCTTAGCTTGCGAGGCAGGCGGTGGAACCACTGAGCTAAATCCCCGGCCCGATTGGTACATTTTAGGTATACAGTACAGTTACATTCATCATTGGGATCTTGTACCTTTACATGGTGGTTCTTATTTTTTCCCCATTCCCTTGCCCTCCCTTCACCCCAAACCAACAAATTAAGAACTAGGTGATAGGGAATTAAGATGTCCTGAGTGTGTGTGTGTGTTTGTGTGCGCACGCGCTTGCGTTGGGAATTGAATATGCATTCAACAGTCCCAGGTCAAGGAAAAATTCAGTCTTTTGGCAAAGCTTTGTGTTTGGAGAGGTGGAATATTCAGTTGTTAAAATCTTGTGACTTTTACATATTAAACATCATGGAACACCCAAAGCAGCTTTAAAGCATTCAGCATATTCAGTCATGCCTTTTAGAGCCCAAGGTTTATCTTGCATACTAGAAAGCTGTATTTTAGTGTAAAATGCATAGGCTTTAGAAAACTAAGTGGACTTGGGTTCAGATTCCCACTCTACCACTCATTGCCAGTTAACTTCTTTGCACTTGTCTCTTACCCTGAAATGGAAATAATATATAGTAAATCTTCATTCTTCATTGTGGATTCTGTATTTCCGAATTTGCCTAGTTGCTGCAGTGTTGTAATCCCCAGATCAATACTCAATGCTGCTTTTGCAGAGGCATGCACAGTGGCTCACACTTTTGAGTTGCCGAATGAGGGTGTTGCCAGCTGCTGAGGTCCAGCAGGTTGATTCTTTCCACCCTTTTTTCAGCTCTCTTACTCTAAACAAATGTCCCTTTCACAGTTTTTCAGAGCCAAGTTCTTTGCAGTTTTGTGTGTTTTTGTTGATTTCACTGTTTAAAATGGCCTGTGAGTATAGGTTGCAGCACTGTCTAATTTTCCTAAACTCAAAAAGGCTTTGCCTTTCAACGAAAGTATTTGTTGGAGAGAGGGGCTTTCTCGAGGCCTGAATTGTATTACTGTTCGCTGTGAGTTTAATGCTAATGAATCAACACAACAGAATAACTAAGGTGCCTTTAAACATAAACACACAAGACAAAGTTAAGTATGAATCACTTGACAAAAATGTTGGGGGCTAACTCTCAGAGGGGCCTAACCCTGTATTCCCTCTAAGAGCGGTAATACAGTATGTACAAATTCATATTCACAGCATCTTCATAGAACATGATGACTGTAGACAGTAAGCATCAACTCTCCCAAGCTTGCTGGATTTGAGGAAATAATAGACATATAACGGAGATAGTAGCTGTTAATCATAATTTTCATAAGAGTCTTTCCTTAGAACAAGTATAATTATACCCTTGGTAATTTCACGTTAAAATAGTCATTTTTTAAAAAATAGAATGGAAGAGAATAATTTGGGCTTTAAAGAATTTGTTTTTCTTTGTTCTCTCATTTAGCCAGAAAGTATTAGTATGCAATTTAGCATTAGTTTTCTGTTCTTTTAAATATTTGGATAGGCCTTGTAATTATTAATATTTATTAATTATGGAAAATTGGGGTTTTCTGAGTATTGGATAATATTTATACATTAAGATTATAATACATTCTGCTCCTAGGATGAATATTGGATAACATTAATAGTTATCATAAAATGATAACTGCTATGATACTTTTCCACTAATGAAAATTTATGAGAATTTTCTCTTAGTGTATTTACAGGTGTAAGGATAATACACTTAATATGTAAGTAGATAGATTCTTTTCACGTTCTACTTATTTGTGCCCATGGAAGTAACAGTGAAACATCCTGATGATCCATGTTTTCCTAATGATGTACTTTTTTCAACATTTAATTAATCCATTTTATATTTAATCCTATAAAGGGCTAAATCTCTAATTGTACACTATTTCCTGCTTGTAATTTTGAGTCCCACTTCATTATTTCTAAGTCATTAATACTTCCAGAATATTTGATTGGCAGGTTTTTTAATATTTAGAATAAAATTTGTCCTACATTGTTTTCAAGTTCTTTAAATTTTTGGGCAAGAGTAATGTTACCATCTTATATGTGCCATAACTTGAGCTTATCTCAGTGGTAAATAAAAGAATCAGCCATAATTTTAAATTAAGCACTTAAAGTTACAACCTTTCTGTTTTAATGAATGTTTAGATTAGATTATGGGACCAAAAAGTAACAGGAAACAGCAGAAATACAAAAATGAATAAGAATTTGGACTTTTACTGTCAAGTCTTATAAGATGCTGCAATTATTCTTTTTTTGAAATTTTATCTGAGTTTATTGGGTAATGTCGAAGACAGCAAATTGTTCGGTTTTAATTTTTATAATGAAAATAATTTATTATAGAATCCAGTTTCTAGAATACTGCTTGCATTTTATCTGTGAAAACTTGGTTTTGCTAGTTTTATTTTTGTTTCCATGAGCAAGGAAGCAAAAGCTTAAGGAACTTAAACAAATAACTAGGATAACTGTCACTTGACCTCACATGTCAAGTTTAGTTTATTATATGCCATCAAACTCTGGAGCATGGTTACTACATATACATGGTGTCAATTCCTACCCTCAGTGGTGACCTCTAGATTAAAGGTCCCTTTCCTCCCGTCTAGACTGGTCAGTGACATTCCTAAGACGTTATAGGATTTCTAGAATTTAGGCAGACTGTAGGTGCTGGCAGTCAGCTAATGGGTCAGCTGAGGGCTTCCCCACCCAGGAGCAGGGCAGAGGAACAAACGACTCCTGACTCCCAATAGCACCAGACTGTTATCTCCATGTTACTCTTGCTTTTTTTTTTTTTTTTTTTAACCTGAAACTGGGTACAGTTATCCAAATTATTAGAATAGTGTTTTTTTTCCTGTGGAGCACAACCAAATCTCTGAAGTAGTGACTTCAATGTGAAATTGCAAGCAAGTCCAAGTCTGCCTGTTTAAACAGGTGCTGTGGAGCCCTGTCATATGGTCAGCTCAGCTAGGCGCCAAGGGCTAAAGCACTTTCCTAATGTTGGGTCATATAGTCTGGCCTGAAATTAGACTTTTGACTGCCACAGTGGGCCGTCAGGTAAGTGCTCAGTTCAGACTATTGTACACTGGACTCAGTAATGGACTTTTTATTCACCTCAGTTTTGGTAATTGCTATTAGTAAAACTGTCAGTTTTTATTCTTGTGCTTGAAATAGTGTATTGGTTTAGGTTTTTTATGAAGGAGATTAAAATTAGTGCTCAGTACTAATTCATTGCTTAGTCCTCTGAAGGAAGAAGTTCTTAAGTTTTCTTTATATGGAAGACTAGTTTTATTATATTTTCTTGTGGCATAAGTAAAATTTCTTAGATAAACCACGAAGAAGAAAAAACGGATAATTTTGCTTAATTTCAATGATAGAAATAATGCTCAGTTGATATTGATTTTTATTTTTCCCTATTTTTTTTTTCAGGGGTGAAAGCATGTCTACAAAGAAAAGTCTGTGACCAGGAAGAAAAATACGAAATTCCTGAAGGTCCACAGAGAAGCAGGCTCAACAGAGAACAGATGGTATTTTCTTTTGATACTACTTTCCTTGTTCTTATGACTTCATATTATCACCACCATCAGGAAAAACTTCTGCCCTTTCAACAAGTACAGGTGACTGATCAAAATTTTAATTGTGCTTATTTCAAGCACTTGATTCTAAGAGATGATCACAATGTGCAGTAAAATCCAGAAGGTAATAAATTTCATACTGTTAATGGATTTTTGGCATCTTGAGCATTCCCATAAACCTTTCAGAATCTGAGGTAAATTTCAGATACAGGAAGTAGCTTGAAAGAATACTTATAGCTACTGCTCGGATTTGGTTACCATATGTCTTTATTGCCACATATTGCCATTTTAATGGATATTATTCCATTATCTTGTTGAAAGATATATATAGCAATGAAGCAATGAAAATTTTTTGTAGGAAGGAATTGTGAAATTTTATTTTTCCATGAAACATATGGAAGTGTTGTATAGCTGATTGAATCCCTCACCATCACTTCATAATCTCTTGTGCCAGAGCATACACTACATCTCAGGAATGCCCTAGACCTGCCTTAGAGACTTGAAGTTGCCAGTATGTGGGGCCCTGAATATGGATGGACAAAATTGAATGGTCCATCAAAAAGGTATTCCTGTCACAGTTTAATTCAGTTTAACCTAGTATTCCTGAAGCATATCTCAGCTATCCTAGGAATTTTGGGGACTCCATGTCCTACCCAGTATGTATAAGCATCCTGACAAAAGAAATTTGATGAACAATTGTTTTTGTCCTTTTTTTTAAGGAGCCTAAAAAGGATCTGAGGTAGTTAGTTGATCTTAGGAAAAATAAATTGCCAATAGCAAACCCTTATTTGCATAAGTATTTTTGTTGATCCAGTTATTTCAGTTGTGAAATACAACTTATGCCAGCAGCTTATAAAGTAGCTTCTTAATTGCTCTTGACTATTGTTTTTATTTCCTTCATTCATTTGCAGTGTTTTAAAATATTTTGATCTGCTTTCAACAGTTTTTTTTTTTCTTGTTATTTCAGTTGCCTAAGCTGTTTGATGGATGCTATTTCTATTTTGGGGGAACCTTCAAACATCATCCAAAGGACAATCTCATTAGGCTGGTTGCTGCAGCCGGGGGCCAGGTCCTCAGTAGAAAGCCCAAGCCAGACAGTGACGTGACTCAGACCATCAATACAGTTGCCTACCATGCCAAACCCAATTCTGATCAGCGCTTCTGCACACAGTATATCATCTATGAAGATTTATCTAATTATCGCCCAGAAAGGGTTAGGCAGGGTAAAGTCTGGATGGCTCCTTCCAGCTGGTTCATAAACTGCGTGATGTCCTTCAAGGTGCTTCCTCTTGACAGCTGAATTTTGTATCAGATGAAATTTTCAAACTGAACTTGAACATTTTGTGAGAATTCAGCCATTGCAGTTTGTTATTCATATTTTTACAGATAGGTAGAGTCATTCACATGTTTTTTTCTTTGTATTAAAAAAAATGCCAGATTAGGAATTCATTCAATTCATTTATCATTTAAGTGCTAGGACTGCTTTTAATAGCTTTTCTTTTGGGGGTTGAGGATACAGCTCAATGGTGGAGCACCTGCCTAGCTACATACAAGGTTCTGGGTTTGATCCCCAGCACTGCAAAAATGAATTTTTCCTCTTAAAACTGATCTTTTTTTTTTTTTTTCTTAATCATGTCCTATTCCAATTATCAGCTATCAGAGATTAATGAGAGGCTATCAGAACTGTTGGTTAAATCTGTAAATGATACTGTTACTATTTAACCTATGAAAAAAGTCCACACCTGCCCCCAGCAACAATACTTGACATCCTTTAGTAAACAGAATGTTGTCAAATCATTATTCTGGCTTTATTATAATGAGAAGAGAGTACTTAGATCTAAGTGTGCTGCTGTAAGTGTTAACTTCTCTTTGTCTGCAACTGCTTTCATTTTACATCGGTTTTAATTTCTTACAATGTTCTTGGTGTGTTTGAGCTTTAGCCCTTTTTAAAATCTTGTGTATTCATTAAGAAATCATGATTTGGACTATAACAGTATTTTTTTTTTGCAATGAAAATCAATATTGGGCTTATGGTACATATTTTATCATGTACATTTACTTATTGTTAACTATAGCTGTTTACTATAAACATGTATATACTTTATTACTTCTGTGACATATTTTAATATCAGCATTTCTCAAAGTCTCAATAGAAAATTGTCCATCAAATCTCAATACTTTAGATTAGAAGCAGTCTGTCTGGTAGACCTTGCAAGGGATGGAGCCTAGGACCATGAATATACTAAGCGTATGCCCTATTCAGCTACACCCTAGCCCAGTCTTGATTTCATCATAAAGTTTTTAGGTTGGTAGGTAGGCAGAAGTTGGAGATGTAGGAGATATTCCCCAGGTTATACAAAAGGCTGTAACAGTAAATGTAGAGGAAGAAGTGGAAAAGACTTGCTCTGGATACTGAAGTCAAGGCTTAAGTGTTGGACAGAGCGCAGCTTGAAAATGGCCTGAGTGAGGAGCTTACTCTTTCTGTTCTGAATGTTTTTACTCTGTTGTACTTACTATGTAAATGTACCGTAATTATAATTATTTTCATTTTTTAATCAGATTCAAGCTTCCTTTTGTTTGCCACAAATCATTAAAGTTACTTGTGTTTCCACGTATCTGTATCTTTTGTAAAAGTGGCTTATTTTGTATATTAAAGAATTAGACTTAGCATGACTTGTGACGATATCGTTTAGCTTTTTTGAACATTTGACACTTTTAACTAATTTCGAGTAGAACTATTTTTAAAGTATATTGGCTATTCTATTACATTAAGTAAATTATTCTGAACAGAGTGTAACTTTGATGGTTTGGATAACATTAGTTGTGCAGTGATTCCTTCATGATTCTATTAAGTCATGTGCTTGGTAGATTTTCCACTTTGTTTACGGTGGCTGTTTACCAGTTCTGCCTGTACTTGTAGCTTTTTTCCTTTTCCCTTGTCTGCTGCCTTTTTTTTTTCCTTCTCACTTGCTAAAAATGAAAAGCACATAAAAATTACTATTTTTAACTTTTATCTTATAAATAATAAAAACATTAAACAAAAATAAAAATGACAAAACAGATTTTTAAAAAATGGACTTAAAATTTAAAGAATTATTATTGAAATAAGGATGGATGAATAGTGTGAAGGTTTCAGTGGCTTGCCTGAGTTAGATACTTAAATTTTAGTAGACATAGTTTGCCATTTATTTCACCTGCTTCAATTTCTTATTCTTCTCTGAGAATTTGGTAGATGACCTGAGTCTAGATGAAGTTTGTGTTTTGAGAGGCCTGAAGTTCTTGTGAGAATGAAGACCAGGGGTAGAGTGGCAGGATGGAGGTTCTTACCATGATGAGTATAAAAAAGGACTTAGTTGTTTTAAAGGATTGTGGACAACTAAAAGTCACTATTTTGTTTGAAGTTGAATTATGAACTGAATGAGTTTATATGTCAACCTCTTTCAAATATATACATATCACAAGCTACCTAATAAAAGAGTAGATAAGTTGAGAATTCTCTTTATTCAATTAATATTATATTTGGCTAGTTAAGCTATACTCTGTTATGAATTAGGGATTGTTTGTGTAGCTTCTGAAGGCACAAGGTCCTGTTTTTGGTACCTGAAAATTTTGTTAGGATGGGCATGTGAGAAAAGAGAAAAAACACTGGATTAGTCTCCCTGTGCCTTGAAGGATTGATGACTAACACCCAGCTGCTGAGTAGGATCCTGCACAGGCTTTGAAGCCAGTCAAACCTGCACTTGATTGCCGTCTCTACTTTACCTAACCAGTGTCTACAATGAGGAATGTGCTGTCTTCTCATGTGAATGGCAAAATGTGAACACCTACATTGTAGTTAGGTTCACCGCCTAGGGCCACTGTGAGCAGGGTGGTTCAGTTTAGAAATGTCTCTGAAAGCAGCACCTGCAAAAATAGCTGTTGGTAATACAGCTTGTCTCCATCCTGAATAGTCCTGGTGGTAATCCCCTACCCACCCAAGACTGCTGCACAAGACTTTGCTTCATCCCATCAAGTTTTCCCATCTGTAGCCCCTCCTGTCCATTCAACTCAAATTTTCTTTAGCTTTTGTTGCATGAATGGATTTACTGTGGGAACCAAGACTGCTTAGGCCTCTGCACACAGGTGATGCACTGTAGCACAGGCCTGACTTACCTTGTTGGCATCATGTCACAAACCATTTCTGCCACCTCAGCTTGAGCCCTCCCTTTGATGTCCTTGGGGTAAATTTACTTTACACATCTAAAAAAAGATTTCTAAAAAACTTTTTTGTCTACCTTTTATAATTTTGAGACTACAGTTTTCATTATCAGTGCTACAAATTTGTCAAAAACTGCTCCCCATTTGCCCTGTTTGCCTTTGGGTTGAAATAATATGGCCTACGTGCACGATTGAAAGCATACATTCATACAATCCCTATCACTCTACTCTCTTCCATTTATTTTAGTTGGGCCTTGGAAACAGTTAACCCAAAACTCAGGAATAACAACTATTAACAGTCTTGGTTGTTTTTGTAAAGCATTCATACATTCAGCCCTCAGTACCCACTGTGGGAGGGGGCAGGGGCGGGGTTCTTCAAAGACCCTCCCCACCCCCACAAGATACCCAATCCACAGATACTCAGGTACCATACAGTGGCATAGTATAGGTGGGAGGGTCACGAGTTCATTGAGTATGAGACCGGCTTGGACAACATAGCTAGATCTTGTCTCCAAAACAAGAAAGAGAATAAAATAGTATAATTGTGTAAAACCTATGTACCTCCTCTCATCTCATTTCTGGGTCACATAATATCCAATGTAATGTAAATGATACACAAACAGTTTTTATACTATATTGTTCAGGGCATAATGATGAGAAGAGTATGTTCAGTACAGATTTTTTATTCTGAATATTTTGGTTCTCCTGTTTGAATTGATTACAGATCCCATGAACACAGAGGACTGACTAGCTTTATAAGGGCTTCAATCTTCATATACTTTTACTTTCTACATTTTGTCATGTCATTAAATAATCATGCGTAATTTAAAATAGTTGTATTCTGTCAACAGGATATATCAATTTAACTGAAACTATGCTATTGAATATTTGGGTTGTTTCCATTATGGATAAATGCAAAGAAGTTTTGGAGGAGGGAGCACCATTTCTTCAGAATGTCAAGTTAAGTCAGCAACTGTCCTTATCAGCTGTACAGGATGCAGTGCACATTCTACACATTTAAATTAAGACCTGTAGTTACACTTAAAAATTACATAATGAGCTTTAATTGATTGCTATGATTTTCATGAGTTGATGAGGCATTACCTGTAATGTTTAGAGCACTCCTGCCCTTACAGGTTAGGAACTAACTAGGAAAGCAAAAAGAATTAGGCCTTTTGGTGTGACCTTACAGGTAACCTCATGTGAGGATAGGAGCTCTCGTGCTGGAATGAGGAACCAAGCACACACAATGCCAGAGACTGGCCCAGGATGGTGCCTCCCACTAAAGGCAAAGGTCTACCTTGTGTTTTTCCCACACCACACCATCTTCCAGGGCACATTGCACTGTTGTCTGCATGGGAATCTGATCAGACATCTACTTATGTGAACTTACTGAAGTGCTCCAAGACAACCAGAAGGAGAGATGGTATTCTACACTCCTATAACACCCCATCTCCACCTCCACAAACATTACTGATCAGTGCACTTTGGTTCTGAGACCAAGAAGAATCATGCTTTTCAACTCTTCGTTCAGTCACCACCAATTGATCAAGTTGGTTTATCACTAAAGAAGCCATATTTAAAAGCTCAATGTTTGAGTATGTATGTTGCTTTCCTCTGCAGCACACCAGAAACACAGGGTACACTCCAGTCAATTCCCGTGGCTCACACAGAAACTACTAGGAGGCTGTGTTCCCTAGCTGGGAGTAGAAGGGTGACAAACACCTACATGTGCTCTCAAAGGCAGAGAGATGAACAGAGAGGAGGAATATAATTTGAAAATGCTTTGTGGAAAGTACAGTACTTGGAAGTCACTGCTCTGGCACCCACTATTGTTGGAATTACCTGCTACATGGTCACACCATTTTGACATAGTATTTCTGATTCAAGGATCTACTACAGTGCAAAATGTGTGTTTCACTACATACAACTACATATTCTGTATATGAAATCTGAGGTCATTACAATTACTCAAATAATCATTTCCGTTTTTCTATGAGTGCTGAAGTTTTGACACCTTGTAGTAAATTCAAATTATTTTTGTGGTTGTGAAAGTAGTGATTAATACATTTGATATTTAAATTACATTGAATAAATTCTGAAAAGTAAACTAAGTCTGTGGAGATTTTTTTCTGTTGACCTTTTGCATATATGTGATAGAAAGCATGAAGATCAGGCTTCAGTAAGCACCCTCTTAAGGTGCTATGTAGCATTTCGCACACACACACACACACACACACACATATATATATAAAATCTTTTTTTCCTTTTTAAAAATACAGACCTGCTTCAACATTTTAAAAGGAAGTTGAATGAGAATCTGATAATGATTCACTGAGTAATTTGTACATTCCATTGAATATTTATTGAGAACCTCCTACGTATCAGATTTTGAGTAAGGCAGGCCACAGTCCTCAATGGATGCTCTGCACCCTGCTAGGAGAACCAGAGAAACCAGCATGCTCACACAGGTATTGTTGGCATGGCAGGCCCCTGTTCTCCTGTCCAGGAGATACCCCTTATTGGAGACCTGCATGCCAGTGAGCATTATGATGTTAAGAGACACTCAAAGTCTATTTTGGATATATGACTCTTGGTAGAAACACCCAGTGTTTGCTTTGAATATAATCATGTGTTTTTCAGAAAGGTACCTAGGACTTACTGTAGAAACAAATGGATTAATATTCACTGTGATATGTACTAAGCATTTTTTTATTCCCCTTGAGTGCTATTTCTAGTCTTTTGCAGAAGAGAATGACATTTTATCAATATTTTATTAGACCTTTTTTCCCTTTAATTAGGAATTCAAGTCAGAAACAGGAAATGCAGCTTGCTGAAACCATGAATTAAAAATGAGTTTTTTGCTATCCATGTTTAATTTCCTAAGTTAGCAAATTTAATCTGAAGATAATTTAAACAGTAGTTAAATCTATACAGGTTTATTTCATCTACTTTTTGAAAAAATACATCTTTTTAATATTCATGCTTGTTTGCTATGAATTCAGATATAGTCATTAGAAGGGAGGTTTTTTAATGGGATGGTTTTTAAAATGGATTGTTGGCACTTAATTTGTATTTTGTAACAAAATAATTTATGTACATAGTTTTTAAAGTCCAATAATGCAAACATTTAGACAAGAAAGTCTGTATCCTGTATGTCTCAATCTCTGCCTAGAAACCATCACTTTGTACTCTTAGTAGTTTATTTTGGCATTTACCTTCTACATAGTGTGTCCATATTGCATTTTCTTTTTTTATATATTGCATTTTCTTAATTCATCCATTTTAATATTTATTGATTTCCTATCATGGTAGATTATGATTTTGGCACTCAGATTACTCAGATTCCTTCTTTGACTGTGGTGGATTGCCTAATGGTCAATTTGTAATGCCCAGCTGAACTGAATCAGCATGGTTGGGTGTAGAAGATTCACCTGAGGATTGTTGTCAATAGTTATAAAAAGAGAACTGGATGGGAAGATCATATGCTGTTGATTTTCTAGGAGAAGCTTTCTGCAGCTGGATTTCCTGATGAGAACTTGGCTATTCTTGTCGAAGGAGGAGCTCAGGGCCTCACTGTCCCTGGGAATGGCTGCTATTCTTATCAGGGGAGCTCTGATCTTCACTGTGAGCATCACTTCCTGGCTCCAGTGTAGATCCCTCAGTCTGGTGGCACAAATCCTTCATTCCACTGGCGCAGGCTTTCTGGCTTCCACCACTGACCTTTGGGCCTTCCTGGTGCAGATCCTTGAAAACGGACAAGCATGAGACATTGTTGTGGGCTCTAGGCCACTGGCTGGGTTCCTGGGGGCCATTGCCTTGGACTCTAAGCCTTTACCTT